TCCTGGGCGTCCTCACAATCACTGCTGTATTTGAGCCCGTGGTTACAGCCGCTGTGGCAGTGTCTTTTGTTGAGGGTTTTCCTGTTTTTCACTGACCCTCTGCTTTGTTGTTGTTAGGTGCCGTTGAGTCATCTTTGACTCATCGTGACCCTATGTACAGCAGAATGAAATGCTGCCCAGTCCTGTGCCAGCTCCATGATCCTTGCTACACCTAAGCCCATTGTTGTAGCCATTGTGTCAAGCCATCTCATTGAGGGCCTTCCCCTTTTTCATTGACCCTCCACTTTACCAACCATGATATCCTTCTCCAGGGAATGGTCCCTTCTGACAACATAACCAAAGTAGGCAAGACGAAGTCTGGCCATTCTCACTTCCAAGGAGCATTCCGGCTGCACTTCTTCCAGGACAGATTTGTTAGTTCTTTTAGTAGCCCATGGTACCTTCAGCATTCTTCTCCAACACCACAACTCAAAAGCATCAACTCTTCTTCGGTCTCCCTTATTCATTCTCCAGCTGACCCTCTACTTTACCAAGCATGATGTCCTTCCCCAGGTGCTGGCCCCTTCTAATGACATGCCCAAAGTATGTGAGGCGATGTCTCGTCATCTTCACTTCCAAGGCGCATTCTGACTGCACTTCTTCCTACACAGAGTTGTTCATCCTTCCGGCAGCCCGTGGTGTGTTTTTTGCTGGGTGACAGTGCTTGGCATAATATGCAATTATGGATGTGTTAGTAGAGTTGTGTACAGGGTGCTGGAGGAGCACAAAGGAGGGATGACTAATCCTTGCAGGAGGGGTCAGGAGAACTGGAGAGGACTTTCCAGAAGATGTAACATTTGAATTGCACCTTTTTTTTTTTTTGAAAAAAAAAAAAAGAAGAAGAAGGTGTTGGCTATAAGGATAAGACCATCCAGGCAGAGACTACATCATGGGAAAGGCACCGAGGCTCAAGTACAATGTCCACTTAAGGTCTCAAGAGTGATTTGGTGGGCAGTGGGGGTGAGGGAGTCGCAAGAGAGGAGGCTGTTTTCCTCCACATTCTTTGCTGTGGCCCCCTGAACCACTCATTTCCCCACGCCTCCTTCCATGTCTTGGTGTGGAATGGCTTCTAGTCTCTATAGAGTTAAGCATCTCTTCCTCCCTTAACTCCGCAAGAATGTACAGGCTCTCCCTTGGCCTTTCTATTGTCCATGAACTTATCACTATCACAGCACCTTCCAAATCATATTCACAGGGGAGGGGAGGGACTAGGTCTTTCTGGTTTTGTTTGTTTGTTTTTGGTAATGGATTACAATACATGCTTGAAGTTGGGGAAGGAATCCAAACAGTATAAATCAAAAACCCACCACCATCGAGTCAATTCCAACTCACAGCAACCTTCATTGGGCTTCCGAGGCAGTAAATCTTTACGGAAGTAGATTGCCTAGTCTTGCTTCCACAGAGTGGCTGGTGGGTTTGAACCACCAACCTTCTGGTTAGCAGTCAGATGCCTTAGGCACTGTGCTCCTTTCCAAACAGTATTGTTGTTGTTGTTGTTATTTGCCGTCGAGTCAGCCCCGACTCATAGCGACCCCTCCTTGGGTTTCCGAGGCAGTATCACTACGGAAGTAGGATTGCCCAACCTTCCTTCCGAGGAGTGGCTGGTGGGTTTGAACCACCAGCCTTCTGGTTAGCAGTCAAGTGCCTTAGGCACTATGCTACCAGAGCTCCTTCCAAACAGTATTGTTGTTGTTGTTGTTGTTTGCCATCGAGTCGGCCCCAAACAGTATAGAAGGGTACAAACCAAACATAACCAGCTGCCATCAAGTTGACTCTGACTCATAGCGACTCCATAGGTATCCAAATAGAACTGGGCTCCACAGGGTTTTCAGCATCTGGTTTTTCAGAAGCAGATTGCCAGGCCTTTCTTCCAAGGTACCCCTGGGTGAACTTGGACCACCAACCTTTCTGTAAGCAGCTGAGCGTGTTGACTATTTGTACTGTTCAGTGACTCCCTAGAAGGGTAGAAGTTAGAAAATAAAAATAGTAATGTCTTCAAATAAGTACCCGTAGCCTCATGAGTGGTAAAGGTTTATTATCTTGAAAGCAATGAGAAGCCATCTGGGATTTTTACCTTTTTTTTTTTTTTTTTTTTTTAATGTGATGTGGGTGAAGATTGACAGAGCAAATTCACTTTCCATTATAGCAGTTCACATAATACTTTCTCATGTCATTGACCACAGTTTACCACAATGCAACAGCTCCCCTCCCACTTCCTCCCCATAGTTACCTCTTCCCAGTGTCCATCC